GGCGTTTAAAAAATGGATTAAAATATAGGTTATTCCATTTAAAAAAACTACTTTTGTCGTCACAGCGCTTTAACGAAAAATCTAATTAAATTTCGAATAACAATTTCAAATTCGTAGAAACAAAATACACCAAATGGCTATCTTGATTTTTTCAAAAAAAAATTTTTTTAGCGAAAAGGTAGGGGGTGTTCACTTTATACTGGATCACCCTGTACATACTTAATAATGCTATTAAATACACAACTCCTTTAAACAGGAATAAGAATCCTATTTTTCCAAAGTGGATGGATGATACTTTGAAGGAAGTTATCTTAAACAAAAAAGCCGCACACAAAAACTTTAGGCAAACATCCTCCTTGGCAGATTACCATAGATTCTCATAGCTACGTCTGCAGTGCAAACAATATGCCCCCATCAGCCAGAATAGGGTTCAAGATAAAAATGGGTTTTGGAGTTACATAAGATCTAAAAAAAGATTTCAGAGGTTTTCCCTGCTGTATGACTTTGAAAGATAAGAAAGCAGATTCACCTGTGGAAATTGTAGAGCTGTTTAAAGATCATTTTTGGTCCGTATATGATGATTCAAACAATTTTAGTATGTGATGTGATGTTACTGTTAATTTGGGTTTTTTGTCCATTAATGTCATGGATATGCATAATAAAATTTACCAGCTGAAGGATAACTTAGGGACAGGTCCAGATGGTATCCCTGTTTCTGTCATTAAAAAGCATATATACTTCTTCTCTTATACCCTGTGTGAAATCTACAACAGATCATTGTCCACGGGAATTTTTCCAACGGTTTGGAAGACTAGTTTTGTAACTCCAATTTTTAAGAGTGGTGGCAATTACAGCATTGAGAATTACAGGCCAATTTCAAAAATTTCTATATTTTCTTAGACTTTTGAGTCAATAGTTACAGATAAATTAACACCTCTATTCAAAAATATAATTATACCAGAATAACATGGGTTCATGAAAGGCAAATCCACAGTGTTGGAGTTTGAGCAAGCTCTGTTCCATCCATTGGAGGGGGGTATCAGGTGGACGTGATATATACCGACTTCTCTAAGGCGTTTGACACGATCGACCATTAAATTCTGGAAAGCATGGGATTTCATGGATCATTTTTGAGGTGGGGATTGACCATCTTTCGGGAAGCGAACAGAGAGTGAAGATAGAAAACTCAGTCTCATCAGAGATTAACGTCACTTCTGGGTCCTTATTCTTGAAACAGGGGAGCATCGTTCCCAGGAGAACGAGTGTTCCGTCTTTCTCAATGATATGCAAATGACAATATAAGTAACAAGGACAGAACACTCGTTCTCTTGGGAACGCTGCTCCCCTGTTTCAAGAAAAAGGACCCTGGTGTTTTGCAGGGTGAGCATCTGTCCCCTCTCCTTTTTAATCTTTTCTTGAATAACGTTAAGAATGTTTTTTAACACTGTAAATTTCTCAATTTTGCTTTGTCACTATAAAAAATATCCATGACTGTGAAATCTTGCAAGGAAAACTCAACAATTTTTTCAGCTGGTGTGAAGACAATCATTTGGCACTAAGCGTTGATTTGAATTGAATTTTTCTGAACATATTGGAAACATATCCAATAAAGCCATGCGATTAGTGGAATTTAAAACGCGTAATTTGAGAGATTTTAATAGCATTTACACTTTGAGCCTTGAGGAATGCTTATTCAGCTATAGTTCGCCAAATTCTGGAGTATGCAGGTCCTGTTTGGTCCTCCTTTTATGGTAAACATAAGTACCAACTGAAGAGGGTACAACGAAGATTCTGAAAACATATTGCACAGAAACTTAATATGAGTCATGACTCCATTATGATATCTTAAAACTTTCAAACATTCAAACTCTAACCCAAAGGAGAGATCATCAGGACCTGTATATTTTGTTCGAACTGGTGAATAATATAATCTAGTCACCTCAGCTCTTATCTTTGGTTGGTTTTAATGTACCACATAACATAAGAAACAATAGACTATTTTATGTACATCATCGTACTAATTATGGGTACAATTCTCCTATAACTAGATTTTTAAGACTGGCAACTGCTGTGATAAATAAATTTAATGTGGATCTTTTCAATATTGGACTGGAAGGTTTCAAAAGACAAATCAAATCGATTTAACGATTGTTTCTATCAGTGGTTTTATTCTTGTTTGTAAAAATCACCATATGTTATATATATTTATTGTTCGGGTCATTTTAAACTTTTTATTACATATTGTTATCTTTTTTTTTTTATTATTAGTCGCCTTCCCTACAAATTTTAACATGTGTTGTTTTTTCTTTTCTTTTTTTCAATACTTAATTTTTTGTTCATTAGGTGCCCTGTCTAGACAGCGACACAATATGATTTATTGGTTTAACACATACCTACCTAAATATATAGATTAAGAATTATTGTATCTACTGTGAAATGGCTTGTCCGTAAATAAAATTCTATTCTATTCTATTCTAAGACCGAAGACAGCAAAAAGGACAAAAAAGAGGAAGCCAGAAGACAGAAAAAAAGGCAAGGAGAAAAAGAAGAAGCTTGATAACAAAACAAACAGGATCGGCTTGGAAAATTTAAAAAAAAAAATCAGAAAACATCAGTTTTATTTATCTGTTTTTAAATTAGTCTAAGTTCTGACTCTGACGAATATTTATCAATGATCACAAATAATTTTCATGAGTCAACAATTTACAGCAATATAGAAAAATCAAACACAAAACAGATAGTCCAAGCAATGAAGGAAGTTTACCTCAACATAATTAGAAGTTAACATTTTTTGGGGGGGATCGGTTCATTTTCATGTGCTTAATAACATATTAAGTTTGCGACCTTGTACTTCCATAGGGTTTTCAGTTAGGGGTGGTTTTTAGGGGTAATTTGCAGTTTATGGAGAACGCTGCTCAAAAGGATGGTCCAATAGCAAAAAGTTTCAAATTAATGTTTTAGCTGAAGCTTTTTGCTATAAAAAACTCAGCGACAGCACCCCTCTATCTTCTATAGTTTTTTTTCTGCAGCGTCTTGAATAGTAGCATGTTTTTGTTCAAGGTTACTGAATCAACGTTTTGCCATTTTGCGCGCATTTGTTGCAGCAGCGGCCGAATGCATAATCCGATTTCAATTTTTCAAACACCACATTATTTCTAAAGAAATCCACTCTCCAATGCTTTTTTGTTCGAATTTTTTGCTTGAAAATTAAGCGAGCACCGACTTGTCTAATGTGCAAGGAAGTTGTAAATTGCATCGAAAACTACCCCTTTCTTGCATTCACTCTAATTTCTAAACGGGGCCAAATATTTGGTGACAGTTTTCGACAATCGGCAGCCCATTTATTCCTCTCATAATGCCCCAGCGGATTTTTTTTTTCGTTAATCACTTAATGACTTATTGGCCTGAAAACGTCGCGCGGGATTTTTCAAAAAGTAAAAAAAAATTAAAATTGTCGCATAGCGCTGAAACTTGGTACGATGCCTTTATTTATTGTTCTCATGAATATACTGCAATTTTATATCATGTGAAGCAATTAAAATTGCATTATATTCGTAAAAACAATAAATAAGGCCATCGTACCAAATTTCAGCGCTATGCGACAATTTTATTTTTTTTTTACTTTTTGAAAAATCCCGCGCGACGTTTTCAGGCCAATAAGTCATTGAATAATTGACGAAAAAAAAAATCCGCTGGGGCATTATGAGAAGAATAAATGGGCTGCCGATTGTCGAAAACTGTCACCAAATATTTGGCCCCGTTAAGAAATTAGAGTGAATGCAAGAAAGGGGTAGTTTTCGATGCAATTTACAACTTCCTCGCACATTAGACAAGTCCGTGCTCGCTTAATTTTCAAGCAAAAAATTCGAACAAAAAAGCATTGGAGAGTGCATTTCATTAGCAATAATGTGGTGTTTGAAAAATTGAAATCGGATTATGCATTCGGCCGCTGCTGCATCAAATGCGCGCAAAATGGCAAAATGTTGATTCAGTGACCTTGAACAAAAACATGCTACTATTCAAGACGCTGCAGAAAAAAAACTATAGAAGATAGAGGGATGCTGTCGCTGAGTTTTTTATAGCAAAAAGCTTCAGCTACAACATTAATTTGAAACTTTTTGCTATTGGACCATCCTTTTGAGCAGCGTTCTCCATAAACCTCAAATTACCCCTAAAAACCACCCCTAACTGAAAACCCTATGGAAGTACAAGGTCGCAAACTTAATATGTTGTTTAGCATATTAGAATCAACCGATCCCTCCAAAAAAATTTCAACTTCTAATTATGTTGAGGTAACCCCTCTTTTCAGATCTCCGTTTCTTGGACTAAGAGGTTTCACACAGGATTTAAATAAAATTGAAATATTTATATCAACCAACATTTGAACATCACAATGACACTACCTTATTAGGCAATTCAATCCATCTGTCAAAAAGGAAAATTCAATGTGGCGTGGCGGCCAAGCAAGTTTGTTTTGAATATGATTTTATGCGTATTTTAAATTATTATGCATACAGTTTTGCTTACAACCTTGATTTTCATTATTTAATAAAATATTTGTTGATTAGGTACCTAAACTATTAATTTGGGCAGAAATTAGATATTTGTTTGTGTTTTTTGGCCCATGTGTGGCCGCCACGCCATCTTGAATGTCACGTGGTTTGAATTGCCTAATTGAAAAAAAAAACAATAAAATACTTGATTTACCTCGCGATTTACACATGGCATCGATATTACATTTTTAATAATTCAGTGATGGCATCTGACCCAAAATGCAATTACAATAATTAGAAAAAGTGATGCTTATCTGTTTTACCGATAATGCACTTACCAGCTAAGAGATTTTACTACTAAGTATTACATATATTGGAATATCCTTGTGATAGTTAGATTGATCATTAGAACCCCATTAAATACAGATTACTAGAACCAGACATATTTAGACCGAGTTTGCTCGTTAAATTGTTAAAACTAACCAACTTGATAAAATTGTAACTTACCATCTCGCGTCAGAGTGAAGGAGAAACCGATGTTTGGGAATCGAAATGGTTTGCCATAAGATTTAGAATGACAACTCCACTCTCCGGACAAAATTGAAGTGATCTCCGTCCTGAAAAATAAAAATCATAAATAGATTATACTAGACAAAAAATTCAACTTATCGTTTTAATTTGTATACATATTCAAGTACTCCCAAAAATATCTCGCGTTTTTGATAAAAAAGGTAGAAACTGCAAACTTTAATGAGCCAACGAACTGTAGCAAGGTGAAAATAAACTTGACAATGTGCCAGTCACGAGGTTTATCGACATTTAGAGGAAACCAGGAATTAGAAAAAAAACAAAAAATCTTTGTTTTCTAGAAATTTGCAGCTTTTTTTATCCATGATCAGCCAGTCGAAAAGTAAAATAAAACTGTCAATTATTTGCAGCAAAGCTCATGTTTTGTATTTGTAAGATGTATTCACAAGTTAATTTAAATAATTATTGATTGTTTGATCATTCTTCAGGCTTATCCGATAAGACCCACAAAAGATTAAAAATCAGCAATGGATTATCGGTTTTACATCAACGTAATATCAAAATATATTTTAAATAATCCCATAGGATTTATTAATTGTCTTGCAAATAATTCTTAGGAGAAAGAACTCATTTCCATATCCTCAAAGAGCTTTCTTCTCATTGATTTTACCTGAATTACCGTTATTATCGCTTTAGGAAAATAAATTACCATGGAAAGGACAAAAACAAATTCATATTTAATTAATATAATTTGCATTTTTTTGAAAATACATCACCTGGCTATGGGTTGGTTTCCGTTTCCCAAAATAGATAATATTGTTGCATTAAAATGTATAGTTTACTGTTTTTAACTTGAAATTCAGATTATTTTGGCACCATACACAATGGGTTGGTAAATGCAACTTATATGTAGGTACTAAAATCTACGTAAATCTAAAATTCAAATAAACCCTTTTATATTGTTCCTATATACCTAGTTGCCACCTATTTATTTATGTAAATATGCAACAGTCGATTTCTGTAAAACATTAACAAGTCGTGATCCACACGTATTGTTTATTCAGCCTACGTCACCATTTATCTTGCAATTTCGTCATACAAGGTTAGTCGGCGAATGACGACATTCCAGTTGAAACGCGCGAAGTCCGGGCTCATCGACCAAACAAAGGCTGGTGTGGTGGTTTGGAGGGCAGCCTCGCCCCCGTCACACACACAGCTGGACAACTTTGAAACTAAAGGTGGGCAAAATATTATTGTTTTCTTAGGAATTGAAAAAAAAAAACATGTTCTACTGAAAACAAAAATTAGCATCAATTATCATGCTATTGATTAATAGGAAATATGATGAAAATGAGAAACAAATCAGTTGTGTCAGTGTAGACTTTTGAGGAGTTCTAAAAATAATCAATGTTCCACCCTTCAGCGGGATTGCAAATATGCTAGTGCGTTAGGGGGCGTCCACTTGATATGGAATTTAAATATAAACTGCCCTAAACCCTAATTGGGAAACATTTCATTTTCCCTTAAGCTCTCAGAGCAAATGGGGTCTGGTAATAATCCCAGATAAAAGTGTATAATATAATATGGAAGTGTTATATCATAAACACAGTATTATCAGGAAGTTTTTGGGAAATATGAAAAGGAGGACCAAACCACTTGGGTTTTTCACAAACAAACCTTTCGACTATGTTCACTCCTTATGTTACCTAACTATTTTATTTTATCATTATACCCTTTCTATTTTTCATGACAGGAAGATGCAAAACTGACCTTAAATTTAATTAATGAAATCAAAAATCAAGTCAAGTTCGCTATATTAGCAATTTTTAAACTATCAAATGTGCTTCATGGAAAATAAAGAAAACAACAATTTCAATTATCATTGCGTGAATCACATTTTCATTGTAATTGCTAATTGCGTATCGATTCGAGAAACTTGTGACGATAAAGCTATAACAAAGCCTTTCGAGATTTTATCACAGTTTATTATCCGACTTGAAATATATTATTATTTACTTAAAAAATTAGCTTACAATTAAAATCCTTGCACATTGTTTTCAATTATACATATGAACTGAAGCATCAATCATGTAAGAAAAATTTCACACCCATGCACAGCCTCTTTATATAATAAGTGTGGGCGAATAGGATTTCCTCGTAAGAAAATAAGACAATAAATTAATTCTGGATGTCAACCTACACAAAGGCAAAGCATTGGTAAACAACCTGCCCTTTTTCCTTCCCGACCCTTCAGCAAGGCAACATCTGTCTGTCTATAGCTTCTGTTAATAGGCCTTGAGATTATTATTGACTTACCTTGTCCTAGGTAGGTATAAGAAACTTTGGTATATGTATGTAGCTCATTTGTGAACACATATATAAGGGATAAGATAAATTTCATCTTAATTTTTTTTTAGTTTTATTGACATGCAGATAGTCTGTGTTTAAGAGCCTCCTAGTATTAGAGCCCATTATCATATTTTCCTTCTATAGCATCCTGCCTTCTTCATAATCGATTTTCAATAGCAACGCAAGATAGATAGCGAGGAATTGGGGCGGACAGGCAAGGTCGGCATCCACTGGGCTGAATTAACGCATCTACCGAGACAAAAACAGAATTTTGAAAGAGCCAATGTATTCTGGAATTCAGAAATTATATGAAAATCTTACACCTCTATAAAGCCTTGTATTAGAAATAGTTTGTCTTATATTTTTCCTAATCACTGCTTCTGATAAATTATCAATTATACAGGGTGTTCTCTTGGGTGTTCCTGCATATCATGAACAATGCAAACGGAAGGAGGTGATTCTTTGGTTTATTTTATAATAATAATAATTTTCTAATAAACAGCATAGCAAATGCTTTGTTACGGATTTACAGAGTGTGTGGTTTTTTCTTTACAGCTTCTGCATTTTTTGAGGAATTTAGCTCAAATTTATATAATATAAGCTAGGCAATAGAGGCACATGTCAAACATTTGCCAGAAACAAAAGATAATCAAAATAAAGTCATAGCCTACTAGAACATTTCAAAAAAAGTACATACATAGTTTTATCTAATTACAGAGAATAGGAAGGTTCGACACGTTTTGTTATTCTTTTCCGAGGAATTTTTGTGCAAGAATTCCATTAAATTTTATGGTGGAATTCCATAGAATCTTATGATGAAATTGGGAAAAGTATTATGAAATCTTATAGTAAAATTTCTAGGAACTTACGTTTTTCCATTCAGATCTATCACTTGAATGGAATTTCGAGGAATTCCATAAAATCTTCTGGTGAAATTCTAAGGAATTTCTACGGAATAACTTGAAATTTTAGTGGAATTCCGAAGAATTTCATGAAATCTTATATAGTAATTCCGAAGAAAAAAAAATTCCAAGAATCCCATTGAGTTTTATGCTGTGAAATGTGCAATTTTTGCGGAGTTTCCATAGAATTCACATTAAATTTTAGTTCCTCTCGAATTACATGAAATTTCATTGGAATTTCGATCGAATTACATGAAAGCCTGAATGAGTTGCATGGAGGAATTCTAAATAATTACATGGAATTACACCGAAATTCCCAACATGAAATTTCAGTGCTCGTTAAATTACATAAAGAATTTTAAAAAAGTTTCAAAAAATTACATGTATTCCGAGGAATTTTCATCGAATTATATGGAGCTCCGATGTTAATTGCATGGAGGGAATTGTCAGGGAATTACATGAAATTTAAGTGGAATTTTGAACAACTCTTATCGTTTCATAAGGAATTCCAGTGAAATTCCGAAAAATTCTAATATAATTACATGAAGTTTTATTTTTATTCCAAGGAATTCTCAATTAAAAACATGGCATTTTGGTGAAATTGAAATTCCGAAAAATTCCCATCGAATTACTGAATTTTAGTAAAATTAGAGAAAATTTCACAAGTGGAATTTCGAGGAATTTCCGGCTAAAAACTCAGAATTTCGGTGAAATTTGTAATGACATGAAATTTTGAATATATTTCGGAGGAATTTCGGTGAATTTTCAAGAAATTACTTGAACTTTCATTAATATTCCCAGAAATTCCTGACTATTGAAAGGGAATTTCAGCGAAATTCCGGAAAATTCTTATGGAAATAAATGTAATTTTGAAAAAAGATTTTAAGTTTCATTGAAATTTCGAGAAATTTTCGGCTAATAACGTGGAATTTCAGTGAAATTTCAGAAAAAGTTCATAAAATTTTAGTAAAATTCCGAGGAATTTCCAAGAAATTATAGGAAATGTCAGTGAAATTCCGAAATTTTGTGGAATTCCAGGATATTTCAGTGGTGAAGTTTTGGCGAATTTCAGTTAAGTTTCAAAAAAATTATGGAATTTAGAATTTCCATAGAATTTTGGAGAATTTCCGTGGTACATATTTCGAAAAAAAAAAAAAAAAAAAATGAAATATTCGCAGAATTTCCATCAATTTATATATAATTTCACTTTGTGTCGACTTACATAAAATTTAGATGAAATATCGAGTAAAATTTCAAGGAATTCTCGTCGAATTACATACATAGAATTCCTTGAAATCTTATTGTGGAATTCCAGTGAAAGTGAAATTACATCGAATCCGAAGAATTTCTTTGGAATTAAACAGAATTTCCGTGGAATTTCCATGGAACCACGAAAATTTTCGGCGGAATTTCGAAGAATTGAATTAAATTTTAGTAAAATTCTGAGTAATTTCTGTCGAATTACATCAAATTCTAGTGGAATTCCGAGAAATTTCATGAAATCTTTCCAAGGAATTTTCGTACAAGAATTCCATTGAATTTGATGAGTTTCTTATCGTGAAATTCGGAAAGTATCATGAAATCTTATGGTAAAATTTCTAGGAGTTTCTGTTTTTCTATTCAAATTTGTCATTTGAATGGAATTTCGAGGAATTTCATAAAATCTTCTAGTGAAATTCCTAGGAATTTCTATGGAATTAACAAAAATTTTCGCAGAATTCCCATGGAATAACTTGAAATTTTAGTGGAATGCCGAAGAATTTTTGTTCAAGAATTCCATTGAATTTGATGGTGGAATTCCATAGAATCATATGATGAAATTTGGAAAAGTATTATGA